TGCCCGGGTGCTCGTGGAAGGGCCTGTCTACCAGGGAGGTGCAGTGGCTGCCCTTGGCTGGAGCGACGGGGCAGGCTGAACCCGCCACCTGCATCTCCGTCCTCAGGGTCACGGCCACACTGCCGTGTGCTCCCTGCAGCTCTGGGTGCCGGGTCTCCTGTCGGCTGAGCAAGGAGCTCCAAGTTGGGGACGTTGCCTTCCAGAGAGTCCCTAAGCTGCCTTGGGGTACGGGGTCTCCCCACAGGAGATGGGCGACTTCTGCCCTGTGGTGCCTTCCCTTGTCAGCGTCTCTGCCCTCCCACGGGGCTGACCTGGCTCGGGTCACAGGATGTCGGGACCGGGGTGGCAGCCCTAAGCGTCTAGTTGGAGGGTCACCCGTGCGGCAGGGGCCAGGGCGGGCCGGGTACACTCCCCTTCCATCAGGTGGGAAGGCATGTGGCTGTTTTAAAAGTCATTTGTGAAATGGGACATTCCTTTAGAAAGTGACGAGGTGAGGAGTATACGGCACTAAGGCATGGCGTCTGCCAGGCACTCCCACGGGAAGGTTCTCTGCTCGAGTCCGGAGACCTCTGCACACAGCAGGCGCCTGCCCCGTAGGCCGAGGCTGGCTGACAGGCCAGGCCATGGCATCGGGAACCTGGGGGGGTACTTGGTCTCTCACTGTTGGTCACTGGCTCTCTCATAGAAGAAATGGGGGAAGTTAGCAGGAGCTCTGAGTACCCCGTGAGCGACAGGACTCCCAGCTCTCGGGAGGAGGCAGGGTGCAGTGAGTGGGGGGCGAGGCCTGTGGTGTGCCTCGGCCCATCCTCCCACCCGGGCTGAGCCCAGCCGACCAGTCCAGCCGGCCCTGGGGCAGGACTGCCCGCACCTGCCCTAGCCACTCACCCTCCTCCCTCGCACTAGTCCCCAGTCTAGCAGTCACCACCTTTGAGTGGGTCTCCTAAAATGCTCTTCCTCGGGGACCGACAGGTGGCACTGAGGTTACGGTGGCAACTGTGGCCCACATGGCTGACTGTGCAGCCGACTCCTGGCAGCAGCGGCTTGAAACACCCTGTGTGTGCCTGTGGGCGTGCCCATGGTCCCAGAGGAGAATGCAGAGCTGTGGTGTGGCCCCCGGGTGATTTGTCCCTCCCTCCTGGTGAGCATGCGTCTAATGGCACTTCAACAGCAAAACCAGCCGCGCTGCCCTTTGTAACCCTGTGGCCTCTCCTGAGCGTGCCCCTGCCCATGCGCCCCTGGACTAGGGTTGGAGGGGCCGTGAGCCTTAGAGGCCGGTCGCTGGCGTCTCAGGCTCCCCAGGTTCCTCAGTCACTCAGAAGGTGGGGGCTGGCCCAGGGCAGCGGGGGCTGTTTTAAGCCAGCACGCCTAGTGGGGTACGCATGGTGTGGGGTGCAGGTGGCTCGTCAGTGTGATTCTGAACCCACTGCCCAGAGCCGGACCACCCAGAGTTAGGCTGGGTGCCACAGGCTCGGGGCCCAGGCAGTGGGGGTGTGGGAGCTGGGTCTCCGGCCGTCCTGACCAAGTGGCTGCAAGCATCCAGGTCCCCGCAGGCCCTCAGGATGGGCCACCCACGTCCACCAGAAGACTCAGAACTCAGCCCGGAGCTGTGCCCAGCCCTGTGGTGTTGTCAGCTCCGCAGGTTCGCGGTCAGGGCCAGGATGAGATGCCCGACGAAGCCTCGGTGTCCGACACGTGTGGTCGACACACCACCCTCCACCACACGGGTGGGTGCCCACCGCCGAGGGCGTGGAGCCACGACTACTGGGGTTCCGTTACGTAGGCATGGCCGGTCACCATGCTGGTTGCGTGACTGCTCAGTCTCCAGCCCCCATCACCTCCTGTCACACGTGGCCAGCCTCCTGTCCGGACTGTCCAGGGCCACCCTGAGTCCCTCCTTGTTGGCTGTCCACCTGTCAGGGGTGACAGTGCTGTCGGGGGAGCTGGGGGCTGTAGCGGCTCCCCGGGGATCCAGGACGTGGGCTGGCAGGGCCTGTTAGAACACCTCTATCCCCCCAGTCCCCCGTGGCCAGCCTAGACCGTCACAGAGGTGCCCAGCAGGCAGACCTTGGCCTCCTAAGTGAGAACCCTGCAGAGCGCCCCCCACTGGCCTGGCATGCTGCCCGCCTGCCCCGTCCTGTGTCCTGTGAGGGAGTCAGGTGGCAGTGGGGGTCACAGGGTAGTGTGAGGTTCTTCCACAACTTCCCACGTGCCGTGAAGGCTCAGCTGGCGGCGTGTGCTCCGAGCAGCCTGCTCCTGCCAGCCCACATCTGTGCACCTGTCCCTGGGTGTCCCCCAACCTGGTGGTGTCTGCACTCTCCAGGCCCCTGCACCCCACACCCCTTCCTCGGGCCCCAAGGACCGGCCCCACCTTCACATCCTTGCTCCCAGCTCACTGGGAACCCTTCCGAGGAGGGGTGCAGGGTGTTTGGGGGGTACTAGTGTTTGGGGGGACCAGCAAGGAGGCTGCCACGGGGCCTCACCTGGCTCAGGGTAGACCTGGGAGGAGTGGACAGTGCTCTGCAGCTTAGAAGCAGAGTGGGCAGGCTGAGGGCAGGTAAGGAGGGTCAAGGATTCCATGGGCCGACTGGGGCACGGGGGCAGGTGAGGGAGGGTGAGGTGCTTTCTGCCCCCCAGCCTTGCTGAGGAGCGTCCCTGCCTGGCACGCCCACGGCCCCAGGAGCACACCTGCACCCTGGGGCCAGCAGGTATGTTCGTCCCCCATGTTACTCACCCAGGTGGTGAGCCTCCTGTAGGAGGGCCCCAGGTCTTGCACCTTCGGGTCTCCTGCCCTGGGCCCAGCGCCTGTGTGCAAACCCTCAGAGAGTGACAGCCGAGCAGCGGGGCAGTCCCAACACAGAGAGCCACAGGCCCGGGAGCCAGGTAGGCTGGAGGCCAGCCTTTGGCTTTGTGCCCGTGTGCTGTGACCGTGGGTCCCGGGCACCGGAGCACCTGTGTGAGTGGACCCCAGGGCGGAGTGAGGTCAGTCTGTGGGGCTGAAAACACGGCACCGCTTCTGGGAGGCCTCCTAAGATGAGAGCCGTGCACCACAAGATCGGCTTGTCCCGGTTACGTGGAATGGGCCATGTGGCCGTGGTCTCTCCTGGGCTGCTCGTTCTGCACGCACAGACGCGCTGGCCCTGTGCAGTGGCCCGCCCAGTCCATCTGCCCATTTGGGGCGTTTCGTATAGAGAGAGGTCCTCTGGTCTTGGGGAACCTGCTTACCCCTCGGCGTAAGGTCTCAGGGCCCGGCCACGCCGTGCAGCGGATCAGCAGTTGGTTCGTTTTTGCTGCCAGGTGTCGCACGCGGCACATCGTCCACAGCGGTGGCGTTTCCGGCGCCTGCGAGTGAGTCGTCCGTGGAGCGTCAGCGTGCGCGTGTTGTGGCGTGGGCTTTGCTCTCGGCACGGGCCTGCAGGGGCCTGCGTGGGCTGTCCGATGGCGGTGTTGCACCCACACCTGTCAGCGCCCAG